TTCAACTGAACCCTGAGATGGGTTCAAGGCTGAGTGGCTCTAGGTTTTGCTTTTGCTCCGGGTTAGGGGTCATCTTTGGTATAGGATGGTACTGCTCCAAACAGACCTGGTGTGCAGAATGGACAGCCTTCTGGAGTCATGACTCCTGCTCAAAAAACAATTGCCAGTTGTGACTAGGAAGGCCTTTGCACAACTTTGTATTTTTACCAGTTGTGCCTATTCCTGGGTCAGGAAGCTCTCCTCACCGTCATCTTGGTCATCCCCCAGATAGCCAATTGCCGTGATGGTGAACCTATGGCACGCGTGCCGCAAATGGTACGCAGAGCCATCTCTCTGGACATGCAAGCCGTCGCCTGTTGCTCTTCTGGATTCTGGCACACTGGCCAGCTGGTCTTCACACACAGGAGCGTTGGAAACCAGAAGAGCAGCTGCCCAATGTGCATGCACACGCTGGGCGGCTACACTTCCAGTTTCCGTTTTGCGCATGTGCCCTGCCTACCTGGTCTCCCAGTTTGTGGTGTGCACATGCTTGCAAAGACCAGCTGGCCACTGCGCATGCGTTCACTGAAAACCGGAAGATCATTTCCCTGGGGCACGCATGCACACCGGGCAGCTGCTCTTCTGGTTTTCAGCACTCACTCACACACGTGCGCTCCTGTTTCAGCAGGTGCCAGAAAGATTAGCCAGCACTGGCCTATTGCAACACACATTATAGGAGGCTACTTTGAAGAGTATTCTGAAAGCATCAACTGGTTGAAAATGTGGTGGTGCAGGAAGTTACGCGTGCCTCTAGAATGGCATGTTACATCTCTGCTCTGTGATCCGCATTAGATGCCAGTTTGCTTTGGAGTCCAATTCAAGGTCCTGGTTTGATGTTTAAAACCCTTCATGGCATGGGACCGAGTTGATTGAGGGACACTTCGCCCAATTACATTTGTCCATCATATTAAGCCCGGCAGAGGAGGTATGCTATAGGTCCTCTCTGTAAAGGACTTTGGAATCAGGCCTTTTCTGCTGTGAACACCATTTCCCTTGAGTTAAGACTGGCCTCGCCCTGACTTGTTCCACAAGTCCCTTGATTTCTCCCCCAATTTTTAGTTTTCATTGTACACTGCTCAGAGTCATGTTCTGTGAGACAGGGAGCTATAGAAATATGATAAACAAACAAATAAATCTAGTAACATTTTATGTCTTTTATTCTTTGCAGTGAAACTTTTTCTTTTGTCCTTACCAATATTGATGGGAGTAGAAAAATCGGCTACTGCAGGAGACTGTTGGTGAGTATTTCTCTTTTAATTTTATTGTTTTGGAAAACAATATTTGGCTTGTTAAGAGTTTTACTTGGCTGAGGTATTGGATCAATTGAGGCAATACATTCCATGCAGCCATACCTTTCCATATAATAAATAAGTCTTTAAAATGCCAGAGAAATAAATATGTTTCATCATGATTAAAAAATATTATTGTCTATTTGAATCATCGTGCTAGTGCCTGGTTTTTGATAAATTAGAAAACTTTAATATAGATAATACTTGACTTATGACTGGTTGTTTAGTGACCATTCAAAGTTACAGCAGACCCCCCACCCCACCCCCAAAGCTACTTACAACCTGATCCTGAAAGATGCAGGTGCTTCAGAGCCTCCTGCCTATCTCCCCTCCATCCCCCTGCTGGGTTCCCAAATACCTTATGTCTGCTTCCTACCCCACACTTCCTCACCCTGCATCGCACACTTACCTTTCAAAGATTTCTGGAGCTCCAGGCTTGAGTTAGGGAAGGAGGACCGCGTCCCATTGTTGGGCCCTGTGGTGCAATCCTGGAAGCAGCCACCATTTTTTCAGTGACTACATTGAATTGTGGCCACTTGTAAAATTGTGACTAATCCAGAATCATACCACATGGCCCAGCAATAGAGTAGTTTGCTTCGCTTTCCTAACCCAAGCTCCACAACCTTCCATAATCCACAGGTATGGGATTTCTAGTCCAACAATCTGAAGGATACCACATTTCACATTTAAAGCTTGAGCAGGCTATTCTTTGGAAGAATATTTGGCTTCTGACCATTCCTGTATGCTCAGAAGCCATATTATATCATAGTTGTTATTGAGCAAATGGATAAAATACAGAATTGGAAAAAGGATGTTTCTACTGAATTAGTTTAATTATGACAGTGGTGTCCACA